GTGATACAAGTGCTGATGTGCTTTCATTAGCCGAGGCCCTGGGGATTTATTTTCTCATTTGCATCCCCTGATCCACAATCCCTGATTTCATTTTTGCATGGAGACAGCAATATGTATACATTTTGAGCCCTAAGTAAGTAAAGGTAGGTTTAATGTCCCCCCCACCCCCTTAAATTTTTCCTGCAATCTGTAGTTAACAAGCAGAGCATGCATTATATTGCCAGCGAGGGATATATAGCTCTTAGCGCTTAGCTCCCAATAAAGATGTAATGCTCCTAGAAATTAACTCTGAATGAAGAATTACAGCAGATATTGGATTTAATTCAGAACCATTCAGTGCTATTCAAAGCTGTTTGGTCGTCATTTACTTCATTACATCATTTCTATATATTCAGGCCATCACTCTGAAACAAGACCCTTTATTATAGATGCCCTGCTTACCTCAATACACACACGCTTTGCTATTGAGGTGCCCCCCCCACACACAATTTAGTCTATTAATTAGCTTTGTAGTTCATTCCATTGCTTATCTTCCTTTAGAGAAAAACTTCTCAGCACAGTCTACTGAGTGGTATCCTAATGTTAAAACAATGGTTTGACACGTATGACATATTATTCACTTTCTTGCCAAGAGTTGGATGACAAGATTTATACCAGTTAGCTCACTAATTAACGAGTGATATCTCGATTGTTAAAATCCTCGAAAAACCAAAGGATAAAAATGTGGTTTCCTAGATCCTTGCTGTCTCCTTGTTGTGTAGCTTTATTTTATATCGTGGACAGATATGAGAGTGGTATCACACACATCAGTCATACTCACATCCAACGTTCATTTTCAAACATTAAAAAGTGGAATGTATGTATGAACCTTGGCTATATTCAAGGCTGAAATCCCAACTGCCCCGGGGCCCTAGACCCTAAGGGACCCCAAAGCCTCCAGCTTGTGGCAATTAGTTTGTGGTAATTGATTGCAAATATGTTGTTAATACTGTATGGATCACTGGAGAACATTATAAACAAAAATAATGACGGCCTTAAGGCAGCACCTGCATTACTGCCTGATCTGGAGGCCCCATCTTGTAAAAAGGGGGGCCCAGGGCCACCTAGTGGGTCAATCCTGCCTTGCCAATATCAGTCCACACTGAGAGTAAAGCCTCATTTACAAAACTGGAACTTTTTGGAAATATTCAGCAGACCTGCCTAATTTCACCCACAAGGACCCCTAACAGCTTTCGGGCTCAGATCTCACAACAGCGTGAGCCCACTCTCTCAATGAAGCCATTTATAATTCGATTCTGTCCCAATTAATTCATCAGTTTCTCTCCACTCTAAGTGGAATTAGGTCAAAGCCACTCATACACAGCCAAGCCCCTGCTATGATTAAAAACCCTGCTTTATATAGGTTAGGCCGTATTCTACTCACTGCGATATTGTTTATTCAACACTTTTTCCTTGGATTGAGGCTCTACTTGGCTCAGGCACAGAAAAGTAACAAATGAGGCCCAGGTACCCTGTTATTAAGACTTAATAAATACATTAAACAAATCAAATCTAAGTCTAATTAAAGTCTAAGAGGATCCACTGTGATATAGAAATCAGATCTTCCCAAACAAGGAGCCATGGACTTAAATTGACCCTAATGGACATCTTTAATCCAGGGGGAGCGCATGATTTAAAAATGTACATTAATTCAAGATGTAAGTACATGCAGGCGTCCCGAGAGGGGCACCAAAAAATCAGATCAGGGCAATGTGTGAACGTTTTCTGACTGAACTGAGGCCCTGAGGTTATTAAAAGTTTCATGTCTCATTTACACTCACTAAGAATTATCACATTCTGTGTGTGTGTGTGTGTGTGTGTGTATTGTGTGTGTGTGTGTGTGTGTGTGTGTGTGTGTGTGTGTGTGTGTGTGTGTGTGTGTGTGTGTGGGGTGGGGGGGGGGTGAAAAGCAGTGACATCCTTGTCTGCACGCTCATATGTCACCTACAGCATGATCTTATGCTATTCTTAATAACCTGATCTTAGATATTACTCCTTTACTGTATGCTCCCACAAGAGTCCTTATGCTTTATGGTGCTTTACAAAGGCTCAAAACCCCCCCAGATAGTTCCTCCCAGCCTAAAAAGAGGAGGTTTCCTGCACCGTGATGGTTTGTGGCTCAAAGATGAAGAGGGTTAAACCCCAAGAGGCTGTGGCTGGCTCATCACTCTTTTTAATTTCCACCCACGGCTGGCTGTCTAAGTGAGAGTTGCCCACTCCTTGTTCTGGTGTTTTTTTTTTTTTTTATCTCATCTTTTTTATCTCATCTCCTCTGCGGTTTCATTCCTCCACTCATCCCCACACCTGGCCTCCTTGCCATTCCTCCCCCCCCTCCTCTCCTCTCTCCTCCACCACCCACAGATTCTTTGTTTCTCCTCCACTTTTCTCCCATTCTTATTTACCATCTTTCTACCATTTTCTGCCTCTCTATGCCATCGAGTCCTCCTCTCCCTCTCTCCTCTATCACATCGCCTTCTGCAGGCCTCCTCATCTCTCTGGGGAGCGCGCTGCTCTTTTCAGAAAGTGATAGCTTTTCTGCCGCCCTGTCCTCTCCCCATCCCTTCCCTCCTCGTTCTCTCCCTCCCAGTAGTTGATTTTTTTCTTTTTTCTTCGGAGTCTCCCGTTCAACAATTGCAGTCGGTCTCTCCCTCTGTCTCTCCGTCATCTCCTTCTTGGTCTCCTCTCATTCATACCTCACTTTTCTCTCACTCTCTCTCTCTCTCTCTCTCTCTCTCTCTCTACCTGTTCATTACCCCTTGCTCCAATCTCAACCCTCTCTCTCACTTTCCAGCTGCATTCTTTCTATGATTTTATCAAGGTTGTGGGCCAGGGAGGCATGCAAATGGTGATCCTCCCTCTTCTCCCACTGTGGATTCTCCCCGCAAATTCAGCATGTTATGGGCTTACCCAGACTGCAATAAATAAATAAATATGAACTGAAATGCATAGGTATGTGCGACACATCCACCCATGTAGATGACATCCATGTAATATATTAAAATCTTAATGCAATTTTGGACCCATCTGTAAATACAGCACATCTTCCCATCAGCATTAGCTACAAGTGAAAACACCTTATTTTCTGTGCCATATTCCAATTGTTTCCATATACGGATAAACATTAAAAATCCCAGCTTACATTGCTAAGAGACAGAGATAGCTCACGCATCGTTTTTTAAACACACATGCCTCTGATGATTAAGTCATGTGTCTGGAGATAAAACACAGCCCACAGGTTCAGAAAGAGATCAAAGTCTATGGGTGTAGGCTCATTATGCAGCCCTATAGGCTTCTCTCTGTACAGCAGCGGTGGTATTCTGATTGCACCCCCCAATTAAGACAGTGCCATCCACAGTGAAAGCAGAGAAACACCACCGCAATGGTACATTTAGGGAGATCAAATTATGGAGCTTATTCCACATTGCCATTAAAACACTGTATGCCAAAAGGAATATAGAGTTATTAAGTGAAACATACCTCTTCCCATGTGCTGGTAGGACATGTACTCACATAACCACTATTGCAAAAAAATCTATGTGTAGTGAAAATGATGAGTTAAAATCAGTAAAATCCCATAAGAAATAGGCTGCAAGACAAACTGAGACAATAAATAAGACAGACTGCCCAAAATCCATCCCTATAGAGGAATGTCAGAGAGAAAACACCCACAGAAAAATAGAGAGGGGGGAAAGAAGAGGGATGCAACAGCATTTAGTCAGAATGGGGAGGTTGGAGGAGGAGGAGGGGGGGATTACGAAATAATAGTAGATATGAGATACCTCAGAAAATCTAATTCTTCCGACAGTGTGTGAAGGGTGAGAAGCGCCTTCTCCAGCCTCCTCCGCGGACTCCTTGGGGTCCCTGTCCGCCTCAGGCAACTTCCTTGCGGAGCTCAGCAGTTTTTTTCTCTCCCCCCCGCCGCCACCCCCAAAAACCCCCCAAATATCAGAGCTCCTGGAGTGAGATTTTTCTTTTTTTCCACAACAGCCCGAAAAAAAAAAACGGATTTAAAGACAATAAGACCATCCGCAAGGCGAAGACATGGAGGAAGAAAAATATATATATATATATATATATATATATATATACGTAACCGATATTTTTTTAATATTTTTTTTAAAGTTATCCGTCGTGACCAGCAGAGGAGATTATAAAGCTGAAAATGCAATTACTATCCCCGCACTTGTTTAAGGTGACAATAGAGGGAGGCTGCCTGTAACGAAGTCAATACCCAAGAATGAGCCTCAGATACAGAGAGAGTGAAAGAGAGAGAGAGAGAGAGAGAGAGAGAGAGAGAGAGAGAGAGGAAGAGGGGAGAGAGAGAGAGAGAGAGAGAGAGAGAGAGAGAGAGAGAGAGCAGAGAGAGAGAGAGCAGAGGAATTCATCATACACGGATCCGGCCATGATCAATAATGTTGTTTAAAAAAAAACCCACCTGGTTCCTATCCATAGTCCTCTCCGAGCTTTTACGCACTTTGCGCATAAATCCCTCTTTTAAAAAAGGTGGAAGTCCACTCGTGCCTTCTCCACGGCAGCGCGCGCTCACTCACTCCTCTCCGGTTCCTCCGGTTTGTCGGTGCTGAAAGGGACAGCGCACGACTCCACACAGCCAAACGAAGCACACACACACACACACACACACACACACACACACACACAAAGAAAAAAAAGCCACTCTACGTGAAACATATGTAATTCAGACATCGAGTCCGCTCAACCCGCCCGCACCAAATCATCGTCTAATTGCGCCACTGTCGTCCTGCAGAGTCCACCCATTCAATCAAGTTTATTACTAATCAATCGGATCGATAGTTTCCACAATAGAGGGCTTTGGTTATTTGATCATATTAATAAGTCATCAAAATATGCTCACACAGGCGTTGCGCCACACTCTTAATTGCCCCGAACTTCAATCCATTTTTTACTGCGCCCATTGATTTCCCCCCTTGTACAACCATAGCGCCGTGGATCTTTGTGGTGAATGGAATTAAATAAATGAACCGCATCCCATCTGCTGTGTAATAACAATTTGATAAGCTGTGTGGAGTGAGAAAACCAGGCAATCGAAACAGACCCGGGTGTTCTCTGATGTGACAATGTGGAAGATCTGCGCAACATGTCCAATTTGTGGCTCTTTACCACTGCGGCGAAGGGTGGAAGGGACGCGGTGCAATGGCGCCATCTTGTGGACAAAGTTGGGTAATTGCAAGCATAAGAGCGGGGGGGGGGCTGTTCTCAAACCTGGTGGCGCCTTAAAAAATGGCAGTGCAGGAGTGTCTGTTGGTGGTGCTTTAGAGGATTTTATCAGAGGTAAATGTGAGTGGATGTAACTAAACCAATGCACTGAGATAATGCAGTGCAGGTTGGAGGTGCTACTTTATAATTCTACCTCTCTACATTCCTTGCATCAATCAATAACATATTGACATGAGTAAAATCCTACTTGCACTTTAATGCATCAGCAATTGTGCTCCAATAATGTAACATATAATGCTATAACACTCACCATTTTTCTGCATTAAGTACTTTCACTTTTGATACTTTGAATACATTTTGCTGACGTGACTTATAGTTTTATTTAAGTAACATTTTCAGTGTTCTTGGAGCCTAATGTAGTATTTATACAGTGTGGTATTGCTATTTTACTTGACTAACTCATCAGTATTTCTTCTGTCGCTATAAAGTGTGGATCCCCTCTTCAGCAAAACAAAAGTTCATTCATTTTTTGAACCGTTTTGGTTCCTGTGATGTTAGCTCTGTCTGTTAAGGAGTTTCCTTCCTCTACCCTGAAAAAAAAACACCCTGAAGAAGGTTCTGTGCAGAAACATTTAGGTTATTATTGTGCTTCAACAAAGCTGGGGGCGTTGGGAGAGACAGCAGACGACCAAAACACAGAAATGACACTGATGACATTCTCCTAGAACTCAGTAAAAGATCCTTCCAAACTGGACCTTTGGTTACAAATGTGTGCCGTTTCTAAGTTCAGTTTATTCACACTGCCAAAAGATATCCAACACTGGTTCTATATGTGGGTCAATATGCACTAAAACACTGTCTCTTACTGACGTTACCGGCATAAATCCTTGTATCACTCTAAGGGACTTTAAAAGGAATGACGTATTGCCTCACCGGAAATAATGTGGGAAGGGAAAGAAGAAATCTCCAAAAATATATATGTGAAAATGCAAATGTCCAAAGAAGCAATTCTTGAGGAGGCAAATGAAACCACCTGTCTGTAAGTGCAGTAAACAAACATGATTGATGGAAAGCATATGACTCATATCTGAGGGCACACAAAATAAAAACGAAGCCACACGAAACTCCCCCCGAGGTTTGAAGCAGTACATTTTTATTTATTAAGTGGTTGGTTTTAACATTCTTGTCACATCTGAAATGCTTCACTAACTCTTCTCAGATTCTCTAGAAGGTGAGCTTAATAACATATTACAACTGATGATGAAAGAGATGACAAGATTAAAAAAAAAAAAAAAAGAGTCTAAGAGTCTCTTGAGGATTGATTCCTGTTCTCTTCTTGTCACAGTCCAACAAAAACCTCCTTCAAAAAGGAATGAGATGCAAAAAACAAAAACAAAGACAACTAATTGTGGAACATCGCAAACTTGCCTCAGTGACAGCGTAGTAACTAGTCAGACATTGAAGCATATGGTCAACCAACAGTTAAGTACAAGTCAATAACTATTGTGACTATTATAACTATTATTTATACCATCCGTGTAGGATGGATCCATATATACATGTTTTCAAGACCTTGTTGCAGTAGCATTTTTCAGTTATAAAAATAAAGTTTGGTCTTTCCTTTTTTCTCATTTTGTTCCATTTCATGGCTTTCTGTTTGAACATTAAGACATATCTACATTTGGTCTTCCTCAATCCTTCGCTCCCAACTCATGTGCCAGTGTTTCAAAGACTACCTCTGGGTGCCGTTGCTGTCATTAAAACAAATGCAGCCCCCCACCCCTTTAACTCTGAGTACATGAAAGCACATTTTGAATGGAACTGATGCAGCAGTTAAGGTTGAAAAGAAAAAAGTTCACAAAGTTTATTTGAATGAGCCCCAGCATCTTTTTTTTAACTTTTGTTTGTTAATGGAACAAAAAGTTTAAGATAAAGAGAGAATTGAACTGTTTAGCTTACCAGAGCATGTTGCTTTTCGTCTCTCTCATGTTTACAGCGCTCACATTTTGGCCCGTTATAATCAGGATTAGCACCACAAACGGTAGATTCCCAAACAGCTGGTTGTCAATTCAGACCTGTTACACCTGCTGCTTAGGCACTATAGCTGAGAGATGTCTACTCACCCACTCTGCAGTGATGCTGCACTGTTGCCCCTCTGGGTTTGAGGAGTGATTCTAATGTGGCCAAAAGGATTAAAGCAATATGTGGGATGTTGCAGCGGAGTAACACTGTGATTTTGTTTTTGCTTAGTGTCAGTATACATAAAAAATTAACTTCCAGTTAATGGTTTCTAATATGTTAAGCAGTATGGCTGTGCATTCAAACACACGTTAGTTGACAGTAAAACGTGTTATTAGTCGGTTTTTCCTGCTCACTATTAATTAAATTCTCGCACATTAACACAAGTGATTCAACTTGTAGGGGGTGATGGTGGTGTTAATTTGATAGTTGTGCCCGTGGTAGCACACCTCAGCATTAACAGTCCCAGCTGTTAAATTCAGAAATAATCCATATTTGGAAGAAAATTGATTCCAATGTGATTTAATATCTATTAAGCATCTCTAAATTTCTTAAATGATTATTGTATCACCTTGTATTGTTTCATATGGTCATAATTAGTGCCACTTAAGGGCATTGTTGTGACATTTGAACCTAAATGGTTGCCTCGTTTTAGAACCTTACTCCCTCAGGTCTGTATGTTTCTGTGTTTGTATCTGTGTGTTTCTGTGTTGAGCTGAAAACAAAACTCCCTCCCTAAATCTTGTGTCACAAACTGATGTCTTATTGAACCCTTGCTTCACGTAACCCAGTTAGAAGAGAACCATTACTGGGACTAATAAAGTGACTAATATATGGAGGTAAAACAGGGTACGGTCAAAGTAAAGGAAACCCTTCACAAAAGTTTCTCACATGCAGTTCAACAACAAAAAGGCAGAAAATAACTATACATTTATAAGAGGAGGTTTTAAAAAAATAAGCGCACACACAATTTTAAAGAAAAACTGCAAAAAAAATACTTTCCCCTACTTTGACCATACATGTAATTAATGAGCATTTCATCTTCTAAAACAAGACTCGAGCTGCTGTAACAACACGTTACCAAATCCGACTATGGGCTGTTTTCATGAAGAATATTACAGCTGGAATTCTGACCCATCATCTGTTTGCTTCTCAGTAGCAACATTTACATGAAAATAATATCCTTTTCAACTCTTAGGTGAGCAGAAGACTTACAGGGGGAAACACTTTGGGTATGGCATATCTCTGTTAGATAGCAGGACACAGCAGTGCTCCTGTCGTCGGGGAAAGGGGGAAAAACTGTATTTTCTGTTGATCTGTCGTAATGTTGAGCAAATAGTCTTGAATAAATGAAGTAGTATACATTATAAAAAGGTACAGAGAAAAGGAAAACTGATTTTAAGGACTCAAAATAGGTTTTCTGTATCTGTGTGGGACTGCAGGGTTTAGGCAAAGGGGAACAAAAGAGAGAAAAAAAATCAGTTTTTGTTTCCAGTCTATTTTCTGTGGAGGCCACGATCCAGTTCTGATTCCCTCCCTCTTTCAATGTCTCCACACACACACACACACACACACACACACACACACACACCGCACACGCACACGCACACGCACACGCACACACACACACACACACTGTCATAGTCGACCTTCATCCTTTTGCTAAAGGCAGTTTACCGAGAGCAAAGCAGTACGAATCAGTCAGCTGCATATGGATCTATATTTAGATACTGCTGTAAGTAAATACAGATATATACAGGTGTAGTGAATCTATTCACTACGGTCTCTCCATCGATAGCAGCGCCACCGTCCAGCAAGCTGGCTGGCTTCATAATGAAACTATGCAACAACAAAAAAAAAAGTCAGATTCCAACAATATATTTGGTTCTAAAGCAAAAGGTGGGAATCCTCAGTACTTCACTCGTCTATCGTTTTCCATTGTTCCTTTTGTTTGTTCCTTCATCTCTGCTCTGTGCTCCTTCCATCCGTTCATTATTTTTCCCAATTGAAAGTTTTGATTCGTTTCTTCGTTGTTAGCGGTTCGCTCGTCCATTATCCCCGGCGGACTGTGAACAGAGAGAGACAGAAGACGAGACAGATGAGAAAGGAAGAGAACAAAAGAAAGGAGGGAATACAGAGAGTAAAGGGAAGAATCAAGAGAGAAAAAAGGGGAGGAAATAAAGAAGAAAGAGCCGTTAGACAAAGAGAAAGATTTCTAATGAGCAGAGAGACACAGAGACATAAGCGAGAGGGAGAACGCAGGAAACCGCTAGTAAAAGGGGCTGAACGGTCAATTAAAGCCTGCAGAATGATTGTGGTGGCTCATCTTTGCTCTGGGGAATGGTCTTCTACACAAACATAAAACACACACCTCTCTTGCCACAAAGGAAACTCATATATCACAAGTAAACTCACACACACACACACGCAAAATTTGCTCAAGTTCACACCACACAGCAGAGTCTCTGTAGCTGTAGCAGAGAGAGAGGAGGAGGAGGAGGAGGAGGGAGGAAACAAGATGGAAAGAAATCCAGTGCAACTCAAGAGAAAAAAATAAAAGCAAAAGTGAGAGGAGGGCAGGCAGAGAGCGATGAAGGGGAACAGGTACAGGAGGTAAACCCTCTGTATTCTTACAGTGTGGGTTTCACCAGGCCAGGGATTTGGAGCGGGTGCTGACTCCTTTCCTCCTGTTGGCCCCTGCCGTTGCTGCGTTACGATGACTTCGCTTATGAGACTCCAGGTACAGCTGACAACACAAAATGAGGAAAAGATCATTTAATTTGAATTTTACAGCAAAAAAAACAAACATCTACAGATTCATTACTCATTGATATGACAGAATGCAGATAGTGAGAAGTCTTTTTAGTATTACATTGATTTATGATTGATCTACAGATTATTTTCTTCATTAATCTGTTCATTTTTTGGCCTATACATCAGAAAAAATTGACAAATACCCTTACATTTCCTATAAATGTATTGTTTCATTTGACAACAGTCCAAAACCCATAGATATTAAATTTAAAGCAGAGAAAAGCAACAAATAATTAAAGCTGCAAGCAGCGTTGGGCGGGACCTCGCACTCCACGCAACTCGGGGTGCGCTGCGGACGCGTCGCGTGCCGTCGTAACACGTGCGGACCACAACACGAAAATGTCACGTACATCAACTCAAAATCGCCACGCAGCGCTTACCACCTGTTGCTGGAAGGTGGCGCTATTGCTATGTCTTAATATTGTCATGTAGACAAGTTCAGGGCGGGACTGTTGTAACACATGTGAAGTGTCATTGAGATTGGACCACGTACGCTGAAGTTATGAGGACGTGTTCAGGGCGAGACTGTTACAGAATATATGAAGTTCACTGGAGATTGGACATTGCACACTGAAGTTATGAGTGGCATTTCATGGCGAATCCGCTGAATTTGACAAGTCGTCACTGGCACGGTCATTTCACGTAACGCAGCACAAAATCGCCATGCAGCACATACTTCCTGTTGCCAGTAGGTGGCGCTATCACTATGTCTGAATATTGTCATGTAGACGTGTTCAGGGTGGGACTTATAAAACACGTGAAGTTTCATTGAGATTGGATCATGTACGCTGAAGTTATGAGGACGTGTTCAGGGTGGGACTGTACACTGAGGTGGAGTACTATCTGTTTATGGTGACTGGTCGAAATTCAACGCAACGCCACGGGCACGCCGTTTGACGGAATGTCGTAAATAGCACAACTTTAAATCATGAATGTCTTTAGATTGCGCTGATTAAATCTGAAGTAGATCCGATAAATTCCCTAGGAGGAGTTTGTTCAAATACAAGGCGAAAAATCACAGAAAATGACCAAAAGAATCTAAATGGCTGACTTTGATGGCAAGCCACGGACACGCCGTTTGACGGAATGTCGTAAATAGCACAACTTTTAATCATGAATGTCTTTAGATTGCACTGATTAAATTTGAAGTAGATCCGATAAATTGCCTAGGAGGAGTTCGTTCAAATACAACGCGAAAAATCACAGAAAATGTCCAAAAAACTCTAAATGGCTGACTTTGATGCCCAGCCACGGACACGCCCTTCAACGTACATGCACAAATAGCACAACTTTTAATCAGGACCATTTTTTGAGTGTACTCACAAATTTTGAAGCATATCCGATAAATTCCCTAGGAGGAGTTCGTTCAAATACAACGCGAAAAGTTCGCCGAAATCGAAACTTTAAATCAAAATGGCCAACTTCCTGTGGGGTTTCGGGTATGGGTCCAAGAGGCTTTTTTGTACGTCCCGAGATTCTTAACGGGCCTACCGAGTTTCGTACGTATCGGTGAAACGTGGCGCCGGGGCTGCTGTTTATTTATCCTGTAGGGGGCGCTACACACAGGACAAACACGATTTTTGGTATGTGAGCTTCAGGCACTACTCTACACGTGCCCTGTGAATTTCATATTCATAACTATTACGGTATATGTACAGTGATTTTTCATGCCAAAAGAGCGCCACCTAGTGGCGTATTTTTTTTGTCCTTTTTAAGGGAGCCTCAGGGAGCCATGGGGAAGCATCGTACCAAGTTTCATCTTAATCACACATACCGTTGTAGAGATATAAACGTCTTCATTTTAAAGAGCGCCACCTAGTGCTGATGGCCTGAAATTGTGCACGATGCTTAAGGAAGACACCTGGAACTATGCCCCCAAGTTTGGTGTCAATCGGACATACCAATGTGGAGAAATGGTCCACTTCCTTTTTTGATGAAAATTTCACAGGGAGTGCTAATTTTATAGCGTGCTTATTGTTTGAAATTTCGAAAATGTTCAAATTGCTTTTTTTGCCAGGGCGGTCCCCAGGTGCTAGGTGGAAAATTTCGTGCGAATCGGACAAAGCGTGTAGGTGGAACACGAAAAAGTAGTTTAACGACATTTCGCACTCTAACGAAAAAAAATTATAGGCGGAAGTGGGCGGGGCCTATATAGGAAGATTCAGCTCCATTCACTGAACGCGTGGATATAAGTTTTTTGAATATACCATAAACTATGCAAAAGTTATTAGAACAAACGCATTTTTTATGATAGTAGCGCCACCTAGTGGCCAACCCGAAAGCGACACATGTAAACTCCCCATTTTCACCAGACCTGAATACTTTGCCAAATAAAATTGACTTTTCATATATGTTCAGGGGGGTAAAAATGCAGTCAAAGGGTCCTAAAAATAATAATAATAATTAAAGCTGCAAGCAGCGTTGAGCGGGACCTCGCACCCCACCCAACTCGGGGCGTGCTGCGGCCGCGTCGCGTGCCGTCGTAACACTTGGGGACCACAACATGAAAATGTCACGTAAATCAGCTCAAAATCGCCACGCAGCGCTTACCACCTGTTGCCGGAAGGTGGCGCTATCACTATGTCTTAATATTGTCATGTAGACAAGTTCAGGGCGGGACTGTTGTAACACACGTGAAGTGTCATTGAGATTGGACCACTTACGCTGAAGTTACGAGGACGTGTTCAGGGCGAGACTGTTACAGAATATATGAAGTTCACTGGAGATTGGACATTGCACACTGAAGTTATGAGTGGCATTTCATGGCGAATCCACTGAATTTGACAAGTCGTTACTGGCAACGTCATTTCACGTAACGCAGCTCAAAATCGCCACGCAACGCTTACTTCCTGTTGCCAGTAGGTGGCGCTATCACTATGTCTGAATATTGTCATGTAGACATGTTCAGGGTGGGACTTATCAAACACGTGAAGTTTCATTGAAATTGGATCATGTACACTGAAGTTGAGTACTATCTGTTTATGGTGACTGGTCGAAATTCAATGCAATGCCACGGGCACGCCGTTTGACGGAATGTCGTAAATAGCACAACTTTAAATCATGAATGTCTTTAGATTGCGCTGATAAAATTTGAAGTAGATCCGATAAATTCCCTAGGAGGAGTTCGTTCAAATACAAGGCGAAAAATTCACCGAAAATGCGCACGGAATTCACTATGGCCAACTTTGAGGGCACGCCACGGACACGCCCTTCAACGTACATGCACAAATAGCACAACTTTTAATCAGGACCATTTTTTGAGTGTACTCACAAATTTTGAAGCATATCCGATAAATTCCCTAGGAGGAGTTCGTTCAAATACAACGCGAAAAGTTCGCCGAAATCGAAACTTTAAATCAAAATGGCCGACTTCCTGTGGGGTTTGGGGTATGGGTCCAAGAGGCTTTTTTGTACATCCCGGCATGTTACGCGTGCCTACCAAGTTTCGTACATATCGGTGAAACGTGGCGCCGGGGCTGCTGTTTTTTTATCCTGTAGGGGGCGCTACACACACGACAAACACGATTTTTGGTATGTGAGCTTCAGGCACTACTCTACACGTGCCCTGTGAATTTCATATTCATAACTATTACGGTCTCCGCACAGTGATTTATCCTGCCACCAGAGCGCCACCCAGTGGCCTGATTTTTTTTCCTTTTTTGGGGAGCCTCAGTGAGCCATGGGCAAGCATCCTACCAAGTTTCATTTTAATCACACGTGCCGTTGCAGAGATATAAACGTCTTCATTTTAAAGAGCGCCACCTAGTGGTTATGGTCTGAAATTGTGCACGGTGCCTAAGGAGGACATGAGGAACTATGGACCCAAGTTTGATGTGAATCAAACATACCAATGTTAAGAAATGGTCCTCTTTCTTTTTTGACGAAAAATCTACAGGAAGTCTTAATTTTACAGCGCGCTTATTTTTTGAAATTTCAAAAAGGTTCAAATTACTTTTTTTGCCAGGGCGGTCCCCAGGTGCTAGGTGAAAAATTTCGTGGGAATTGGACAAAGCGTGTAGGAGGACCACGAAAACGTACTTTAAGGACTTTTCGCACTCTAGCGGAAAAAAATTATAGGCGGAAGTGGGCGGGGCCTATATGGAGAGATTCAGCTCCATTCACTGAACGCGTGGATATAAGTTTTTTGAATGTGCGACAAAATATGCAGAAGTTATTAAGTAACCAAAAAGTGAAAATACTTTCCTAAATAGTAGCGCCACCTAGTGGCCGACCTGAAAAAGACACATAGAATATCAAATTTTTCACCAGGCCTGACAACTTTGCCAAATAAAATTGAGTTTTCGTATATATTCAGGGGGGGAAAAACGCAGTCGAAGTGGCCTAAAAATAATAATAATAATAGGTAAGAAATCGAGCAAAAACAATAGGGACCTCCAGCGGTCGCTTGCGAGGTCCCTAATTAAAGCTGCAAGCAGCGTTGAGCGGGACCTCGCACTCCACCCAACTCGGGGCGTGCTGCGGCCGCGTCGCGTGCCGTCGTAACACGTGGGGACCACAACATGAAAATGTCACGTGAATCAGCTCAAAATCACCAAGCAGCGCTTACCTCCTGTTGCCAGAAGGTGGCGCTATCACTATGTCTGAATGTTGTCATGTAGACATGTTCAAGGCGAGATTGTTATCAAACACGTGAAGTTTCATTGAGATTGGACCACGTACGCTGAAGTTATGAGGACGTGTTCAGGGCAAAACTGTTTCAGAATATATGAAGTTTATCGGAGATTGGACATTGCACACTGAAGTTATGAGTGGCATTTCATGGCGAATCCGCTGAATTGGACAAGTCGCCACTGGCACAGTCATTTCACGTAACGCAGGCCAAAATCGCCACGCAGCGCTTACTTCCTGTTGCCAGTAGGTGGCGCTATCACTTTGTCTGAATATTGTCATGTAGACGTGTTCAGGGTGGGA